GAACTTCAAGTACTAGATTTGAAACAATTCCGGTAAATAATGTCGCTAAAATCATCAAAATACCGAATATCGGAATGTACCGTTATATGGGGGCTATATGAAAACGTGAACCTGCACAGACAATTTTCTGTCATAGGCTGTAGTACTACGAACTTTAAATTCCAGATTTGAAACAACTCCGGTAAATAATGTCGCTAAAATCATCAAAATACCGAATATCCGGAGGTACCGTTATATGGGGCTATATGAAAACGTGGACCTATATGGTCCATTTACGAACTTAACCTGCCTACTGGAAACACAAACATGTATGCAAAATTTTAGCCTTCTATCTCAATTCGTTCGAAAGATAGCGTGACTACCACAGACAGGCGGACAGACATCACTAAATCGACTTAGAATTTTACGCTGATCAAGAATATATACACTTTGTTGGGTCTGACAACAAAGTTAATATACCCTCCATAGTAAGGTGTAAAAACGAATCCCATCCACCGCTTCAGCTGTACGGTATCGCTAGGTTAGTCTCGGCCAAAATCCTTTTTTAATTTCTTTATGATTTTTACCCAATACCGTTAGATACACAAACCAACGTTTGAATATTTTGTCGCATATTGTCCTTTGTTGATTTTACTTGATTTTTAGATGCCTCCTTTTTTTTGTTGTCTAACTCCGTTCGTTTTCAGAATTTCCATTTATTGCATTCCATTCAATGGATATTTTTTGAGAACTCTTCATGGATGTTGTCCTCCGCGTTTCAGGGAAAACAATTTCCATTTGAATATGTTGTCCTGGCTTCCTGTTCTTTGAAAATATCACTTTTTGGTTGGGCACGAACAAAAGCCGCCGTCGTGCATTTGTTTCGAGGTGCAGTCGCTGATGTCGTGTGACAAAAGCGGTAGTAGTTGTTGTTTTTAAATTTAATTTTTTCTTTTTTGTTGTTTTGTGTGAAAATGGTTTATGGCCAGTGAGAAAATATTAAATTCTTTTTCATAGCGTTCCGCCAAAAAAGAAATTAATTGGAAATCAAGGTATGAAAATATTTTCATTGTTGATGGAGGAATTGACAACAAAAAATAAACGTTGACAGACGGTAAAAGTTGTGTGCTTCTGTGGATAGAAGGGCATTTTTAAAGTTTTTCAATAAAAAAAAAAACTTTTAAAGGTCTTCTAAAGACGCAAAAGCTTTTAGAGGTCTTCTATAGAAATAAATGAATTTAAAGTTCTTCTATTGGAGGGTGAACTTTTAAAAGTCCTCTATGGACAAAATAGCTTATATTGAAGGGAAGATATTTTAAATGTCTTCTATGGACCGAAGAGCTTCTATAAACAAAATAGCTCTTAGAAGTCCCCTACTGAAATTATTAACATTTAAAGGTGTTTTATGGGCAAAAGAGCTTTTAATGGTATTTTTATGAAAATATGAGTTTTGTATTGTCTGCTCAAAGTTCTTCCATTGACAGAACGTATTTTAAAGGTCTTTTATTGACAACATAACTTTTTAAATACTTGCAGACGGGGGAAGATATTTCAAACGTCTTTTATGGACAGAAAAGCTTCGGAAGAGTTATATAGACAAAGGAGCTTTATATACCTTTTATAAGCAGAAAAGCTTTTTATTTTCTACTCAAAATTCTTCAATTGACAGAATGTTTTTAAATGTCCCTAATTGACGAAAGAGCGTTTTAAAGACTTGCAGATAGGGGAAGATTTTCCAAACATCTGCTATGGACAGAAAAGCTTCGGAAGAATTATATATACAAAAGAGGTTTATATACCTTCTGTCAAAAAATATTTAAAGTCTTCTATGAACAGAAGAGCTTTAATATATATTTTATGAAGAAAAAGGATTTTAAAAGTCGAAGATCTTTAAGAGGTCTGTTGTGAACAGAAGATTGCTAAATTATATTCCATGAAGATAAAAGATTTTCTATGTGCAGAGGAGCTTTTAAAGTGTTTTTTATGAAAATATGAACGACGTTAAAGCACAGACAGAAGGTATTTGAAAGATCTTCTTAGAGATCTTAAATGTATTTTTCGGTATTTTTATATTTTAGAAGTTCTAAAAACTGAAAGCCCTTAAACAGTTTTTTTATTGAACAGAATTTGTCTTAAAATTTCTTCTGTGGACAGAAGAGCTTTCCACGGTCCTCTATTGTATAATAGCTTTTAAAAGCATTCCATGGCCAGAAGGGCTTTTTAGAGTATAATTTAGATAGAAGAGCTTTTATATGTCCTCTCTAGAGCAGAGCTTCTAAAGATTCTCTGTGTCTTTTCTGTACTAATTAACTTCTATAACAGATCTCTAAAAAAACTGCTATAAGCAGAAGTTGTCAAGATCCTCTCGGAATAGAAGACCTTTGGAGGAATTCCATGGAAGGAAATCTAGTCGGGAAAAATATATTTTCTATGCACAGAAGACTTTTAAAAATATTTATGTGGAAAGAAGAATTAAATGTCTTCTAGTAATAGAAGACCATTTCAGATTTTTTTTTTAAATAAAGATTTTCCATTGACAGTTAACCGTCTAAGGCTACCCTAAAAAGCCCCATATTCTGTCCATTGAAAGGCTTTGCAAGTTCTTCTGTTTATACAAAAGCTTCTAGAGGTCTAAAGTTTACATGTCATAAAAATATATTATATCCACAGATGTAATAGGCTTTCTGTCCTTAGATCTTAAAAAGAATCTGCTATGAACAGAGCTCTCAAAAGTTTTCAATGGACAGAAAACATTTGGAGATCTCATATGAATAGAAGAGCTTTAAAAGTCAAGATTCTCAAAATGTACTGCGGTCAAAAAAGCTTTATAGACATTATGTGGACAGAAGACCAGTTTGAGCATTTCTGTGAACATCTTGAGAACTTTTCAATTGACAAAGCTTTTAAAGCTTTTCTATATTTATTTAATGGACAGAAGACTTTTCATATCAACATGGGAGCTTTAAAAGTCAAGATTTTCAATATCAACTGCCGTCAGAAGAGCTTTTTAATGTTAATGGACAAAAGTTAAAGCTCTTCTATGGAAGAAAACATTTTAAATACCTTATCTAGAAAGAAGACATATTAAGCTTTTCTTTGAACAGAAGACACGTCAAGCTTTGTAATTGACAGAATAGCTCTTAAAGCTCTTCTATATACAGAAGACCTTTCAAATAAATTGTATGAAGAGAACAAGTTTTAAAGCTCTTCTGTCGGCAGAACACTTTTAAAGTGGTCAGAAAATCTTTTCAAGGCACATTATTGACAAAAGTTAAAGCTCTTCTATGGAAGATTACCTTTTGGTGATCATATATGAAGATAAGAGCTTTTAAATTCCTTTTATGGAAGAAGCCTTTTAAAATTCTTCTAGGAGCAGAAGACCTGTTAAAGCTTGGATAGGGATAATATCTTATCGAGCTTTTCAATATACAGAAAAGCGAAATTTTATGAAGAGAAATAATTTTAAAGCTTTTCTATCGGTAAAATAGGGTTAAAGCCTTTTAAAGTCATTTAAAGCTATTCGATGGAAGAATACCTTTCAAAGCTCTTCTATGGAAGAAGTTTTTTTAAAACTCTTCCTTGGAAGAAACCCATGGACAGAAGACCTGCAACAGATTCAGTAGGAATATAAGACCTTTTCGAGATTTTCAATTGTTCCAAAATTGTTCTTCCAGAAACAGAAGACTTTTTAAAGGAATTTTATGAAGAGACATTTAAAGCTCTTCTATCGGCAGACTACGTTTTAAATCTCTTTTATGTATAGATAAGCTTTAAAGCAATTTTCTGAACAGAATCCTTTTTAAAGACATTTTTTGAACAGATGACCTTCTAAAGACCTTCTACAACTCATCTATAGAAAGAAGACTTTCTAAAGTACTTTTGTGGATAGAAGATCTCTCAACGTTTTTCTGTAGATAGAAAACATTTCAGAGCTTTTTCAATATACTGAATAATGTTGAAGCTCTTATATGAGCAAAAGAGCTTTTTTCGTTGTTCTATGAACAAAATATCTTTAGGAGCTTCCCTATAGATAAAAGTTAATAACAGAAAAGCTTTTACAACTCTTCTATTAGCCGAAAGCCTCTCAAAACAGAAGGTCAATTAAATATTTTCTCTGAATATAATGCCTTTAAAAATATATTAAATGATCTATAATCGAGCTTTTAAAAGTTTCATTTGCCTGAAAAAGCTTTTATAGCTCTTAGGTGAACAAGTATGGATTTAAGAGCTTTCCTATGGACAAAATCCTTTAAATTGTATGTTATGAACAGGAAATCTAAAAAAGCTTTTAAAGGTTTCATTTGGTGGAAACAGCTTTTAAAGCTCTAAGGTGAACAAATATACATTTGAGAATTTCCTTATGGAAAAAATATTTGAATTTTATATAATGAAAATACAAGTTTTAAAGCTTTTCTCTCGGCCAAAGACATATCTGAACAGAGTCTCTCTTCAAAAAAAAAATTTAAAAGCTCTCCTATAAACATTAAACATCATTACTCGAGTTTTCAAAAAATTTCCTGTGGTCGAAAAAGCTTTTAATAGTCTATTCCATTTCTGTTTTTATATGTTTTATATTTTTCTCCTTGTTATTTATTTATTTTTTTTTTTCGCTTATGCTCCTGAGAAGCTTCGATATTATTTTCCATTAATTAGAATCGGGTTAAAAGCAAGTAGGGACATTAAGGATTGGTTACTGAGTTAAATGTTTTTTTTTTTTTTTTGTAATTAATTAGATATTAAAATGCGAGTCCGCCATGCAAGGGATGCAGAGTATAAAAACTAATTACATTAAATCTAAACCAAAAACAGCAACAACAACATATTAACGGTGAAAGACAACACACACACGCATACATACATAAAAATAATTACATGTTTCAAACTTCAAGAAAGTCATTTAGTAAATTGAAATCAATAAAGGGTGGGTAGCAAGGATGTGGGAGGATAGCAATTGCCATATACGTTTAGAAAAAAAAATTAGATAAAAACAGAGAATAAAGAGAAATCAAGGCAATACTTACACAGTGTTGTTCCTGCAGGATTACCGGCAGCAAAATGGGCAGCATATGCTGCAGCTGGAGATGCTGCACTTGCCATGGCAGCCATGGTTGCATGCGGATGATGGGCATGCAATGAGGCATAGTGTTGTTGTTGTTGCAATTGATGCTGTTGTTGTTGGTGTTGTTGTTGCGTTGTTGCCGTTTGATGAGCCAAATGATGTTGACCGGTGGCCGCGTACGACGTAGCCAAATGAATGCCCGAACCAACGCCGACAGCACCACCACCCCCACCACCATGGGGATGGCTAACAGCCGCCGTAAGAGCCTTGCTCGTCGGTACACTGGCATAGCTTCCACCCTGCTGGAGGCATAGGCCGCCGCCGCCGCATTGTGCTGGGCCGCTGAACCATGATTCATAGAGGCTAAGGCAACCAGATTTTGCATGGATAGGGAAGAGGCCAGTAATCCATTGCTAGGACCAGTGTTGTTGGTGGCTGTGGCGCCTGTTGCTGCTGCTGCAGCGGCGGCGGCGGCTGCTGCGGCAGCATTATTGGCCGATATTGAGGCGGCAGCAGCTGTGGTACTATGATCCGGTGGGAAATTTAGTCCTGATTTGTTATCCAGTTTTTTTTTTTATAGAGTTTTTTATGGGTTTTAAGGAGTTTTGTTTTTGTGTTTTGATGGTATTTAAGGTAATTTGTATTTGTTTTTGTACACATGACCACACAATCAAGTCAATCATAGACATACCAAAAAATGTATTTGAACGAATATAAAAAACATAGAAGAAAACACACACCCAATTGGATTATTTACATTTACGAAAAAACAAATTAAATAAATTAAATTTGAAATTAAATAAATGAAAATAAAAAAAACATAATAAAAAAAAAATTTCTAGTTGTTCTTGTTGTAATAAATGTAGATTCGAAAGCTAATGGCAAAAGAGCTTAGATGGTGTTTTTTTGCGGGAAATCTGTAGTTTTTAAATGGAAGAGCTGTGGGGAAATTTAGTATTCTTGGAGTACTCGTGAGACGACGCCTTGGTCGAAAGTTTTTCTTTTTTTTTTTTGAATATAAATATTTTCTTAAAAAAATTAACCTTAGAACAAATTTTTAAAATCGGAAAAAGAAAATTGAAAAAAAAGTCACATACTATGATTTTTAAAAATTTGGAGGGTTTGTGGGATGGATTTTAGTAGATGTGGACCGATATTGGACTACCTAGCCGAAGTCTTATACAATATTTCATATATAAATGCCGCTAACAAAAATTACACTGTGTAACCCCAAAAATAATTACAGGGAAAATCCATTTGATTACAAAAGTTGAGCTTTAAATAGAATAGACGTGTATCGGCGTTTAGAAAATTTACATCACACATTTTTTTCGAAAAATTCGGATTAAAATTCCCTGGAATCCATTGATTCTAGATGTAGCGTGTCAGCAATATTGCAGCTACAATACGGGGATTATTTCGGTAATAAGTCTTAACCCTCAAGTGAGTCGACAAACAGGATTTTTTTGCCTTTTTTGAAAATATGCTCAAAAACTACCTTTAACGGGCTCATAGGTGGTCAAATATTCTACAAAATTATTTGTCATAAAATTCTACTATAGGTCCTAGAATACGTCAAAATCTAAATCTACCTAACGCAGGAATTCATATATAATAAAAAGCTTTAAGCTTAAAATCGCCACTTATGAGAGTTTATGCATAAATCTCCAACAAAGCATCATTTTTGAAGGATGATGGTCAAAGACAAAAATATTCTGAATCAAATTTCATTATAAGTCACTAACAACAAAGAATCTCTATTTTTATTACATATCATTATAATATATGCTACAATATTACCAAAAGAAACCCAAAATATTTCCTAATTTTTTTATCCATTTTTTCTTGGAACTTTTTT